AGTCCCAAATTGACACCAGATTATGTAACTACCACAAGCTGTAAGAACCCCCAATACAATAATCTTTTAAGAAAAAGATATTGTGAATAAAACTCAGGATCTGCCCTGCAAATCTTCACTTAAATCACAATTTAAAAAAAAGAATGGTTAAATAGGTAATATGATCTCAAAATTATATGGTATATTTCAAAGCAAGAACTCAATCTGCTCTTGATCGCTCTCTGACTGGGTGATGATGAGCTGACCACTGCTCCCTTTCCAATCATCTCTCCGAACACCCCCCTCCCATGTACCAGCCACTCCAACCTCCTCGAAGCTTCCCAAACTCACCACACAGTTTAACTTCCAAGTGCCTGATCACTGAGCCAATCTGCCTCCCAGCGCTCCTGAACATTTCCCACCCACTGAAGCTGCCTCTGGTGCCACCACCATCCTCACCTGCTCATTCCTCAGGTGCACTGCTATGCTTGCTCAGCCAATTTGAGAGGACAATGGGGCGGGCCTTCGTCATCCTTTCGTCTTATAGTCTAACACAGTGCCTGGTACACAGTCGGTACTCAATGAATACTTATCCAGTGAATTAAGATGAACCAGGGTATTAAACAGGGCTAAAGATGAAACAAATGAAGGAGAAATCTTTCTTTTCTCTCTTTCACGGGATTTCTACTCAAATGGTGCAAAGTCTTTCACCACTTACCAACATTAACATCCTATTTTAAGAAAAAGCAACTGAAGCACAGCAACAGGTCCATCTCTGAAAGCGCCTCAGCTCTTTACCTCCCTGCTAAGGCGTCCATTTAGTGACTCGTGGCGCCACGATCAGGGTTGAGCAGCACTGCTCTTCCAGCAGCAGGAACTGGGGGGAAATGGCCAAGCCTAAGGAAGAACATCCGACAAGTTTACGCTGGCCCTGCCTGCCACTCACAGCGACTCTGTGCCTTGTCTCTCTCGGGAGAGAAGCAACACGGACCCCGTGAGCACCTGTCAGGCGCTGCCGGGGCGCAGCTCCCAACCCCGACTCCACACTGAAGCCAAAACGAGAACTGGGGAAGGGCCCACCTCCTCTGGGATCGGGAGCTGACTTCCCCGAGGTCTCCCAACTTCCTGTGAAGGCACGAACGCCGGTCTATTCCCACACCAGCTGACATCAAGCTCCCCCTGCCCCCCTTGGTGTCAACCACCTACCACTTTCACAAAGCTTTCCCTGACTTCTCAAGCCCACATTAATTTTTCTCTTTTCTGTATTCTTGAGGAATTTCTTGTCTGTATAATTAATTTTGGCATGAAATCATGATGTCTTATATTATTAGCCTTTTCTTAAGAATTTCTCTTATCTTCCCAAATTGCCAAGAAGATTCTTAAGGACCAGGATCATGTTTTTAATTGCTCACAGGAAACTGTACTGAGCAAACAGCGGGAGCTTGATCAGCGCTGATCCACTGAAGTAGCACCACAGTGGTAGGTCTCCAGTCTCCTGGACACTGCTTCCAACTACTGACCCCTCAAGGGCAATCACATTCACCAGAGAGCAGCCGTGGTGACAGAGGTGCAGAGCGGGACAGCTGCCCCAACCAGGCAGGCCCGCAAATCTGGGGATGAAGACCCAATGGGAGTCCTGGGCTCCTAGGGTGCTCTAGTAGAGTACTATCTCAGCCCCAAATGGGTGCTGGAGTCCTAATCCCAATACCTGTGGCGCAATGTCATGCAATCATTTCCCATAATGCAATCTAGCGTGATGTAATCAACCCATTCAGTTCATACAGGCAGAGGTGTTGCTAGTTGCTACTGAGTCCATTCTGACTGCGGATTTCATAGCAGAACTGCCCACGGGGTTTTCTTGACTCGTTTTAATAGAAGCAGCTCTCAAGGCCTTTTCTTCCACACCAGTGTAGGATGGGTTCTAAACCTAATCACTTCTGAGTTCTACAGAGTTTTAACAGCACTGATGCATGGACACACAGACACATACTGGGGAAGGCAGGTGCCATGTGAGGACAAGCACCAAGAACCAAGGAACGCCTGGTGCTGCCAACGCGGCCGAGAACCTGGTTTGGACTTCCGGCCCCCAGAACCACAAGAAAGTACATTTCTGGCATTTGTGTCGTCGCAGCGTAAGGTCACCAAGACAGTGACCTCCCCTGAGATGTGAGCCTGGGGCTGAGTCACGGAAGCCTCTCTGCTGGGCATGGACTATCCTTAGAAAGCTAAGAACTGGGAAGGAGGGAAGGAAGGAAGGAAGGAAGGAAGGAAGGA